GGCTCCTGTGGGATCAGAGGTGTCCTGCTCTGGGGGTGGCTGTGTTGGGTTTGGCTCCTGTGGGATCAGAGCTGGCCTGCTGTGGGGGTGGCTGTGTTGGGTTTGGCTGGTTCTGCCGGGGCTGGCGGGGCCTGTGCCGTGGGGGCCTGGGTGTGACTGTTTTCGCAGCCATGGCCTCAGTGCTCTTTGGAGACGCTTGGGTTCCCCTCGGCGGGGCAGGTGGGGCAACCCAGGGGTGGCCAAGCCCGGCCCAGAGGGAGGAGAAAGAGGAGGAGGAGGAGGAGGAGGGTCTGACCAAATCCCCCCCGCACTGGGTCCTTGAGGCCAAGACAGAGCGAGCGAAGGTCCCTGCGGTGCTGACACGTCCTTCTCGCAGCTGCCAGCGCCGGGGCGATGCCGGCCAGGACGCGCTGCCGGGGCGGCTGCCGGGGCTCGGGGTGCCCATGAGGCCGGCGGGGCGCGGGTGGCCGGGCAGCGGTGGCGCTGGCAGGGCGGCAGCCCAGGGACACGCTCACTATGGAGTTCACCACCATCGACTACACCATCTTCGTGCTGCTGCTGGTGCTGTCGATGGCCATCGGGCTGTTCTACGCGCTGAGCGGCAACCGGCAGCGCACGGTGCAGGAGTTCCTGCTGGCCAACCGTGACATGAGCTGCCTGCCCGTCGCCCTGTCCCTGCTGGCCACCTTCCAGTCGGCCGTGGCCATCCTGGGCGTGCCCGCCGAGATCTACCGCTTCGGCACCGAGTACTGGTTCCTCGGCTGCTCCTACTTCCTGGGGCTGCTCATCCCGGCGCACGTCTTCATCCCCGTCTTCTACCGCCTGCGCATCACCAGCACCTACGAGGTGAGCGGGGGGGCAAGGGGGGCGCAGGGGACCCCACAGCCAGGTGGGGCAGTGCCCTGACCCCTCTCCCCACAGTATCTGGAGCTGCGCTTCAACAAGACGGTGCGAGTGCTGGGCACTGTCACCTTCATCTTCCAGATGGTGAGTGGGGCTGGGGAGTGTGGGGGGCACGGGGGGCGTGGGGGCCAGGCACGGCTCAGCACCACACTCCCCTCCTCACAGGTCATCTACATGGGCGTGGTGCTCTATGCGCCCGCGCTGGCCCTCAATGCAGGTAAGGGGGGGCGGGTGGGAGGGATGCCGGGAGCCTGCTGCCTCCCACCCCATTAACGGCCTCTGCCGCTTCCAGTGACGGGCTTTGACCTCTGGAGCGCAGTGCTGACCATAGGGCTGGTCTGCACCCTCTACACTACACTGGTGAGTCCCCGGTGCCGCGGGTGCCCCGTGCCCCTGCCGTGCCGTGGTGACGGGCACCGTGACCCTGCGGTGACCCTGTGCCCCTGCTGTGACCCTGCCGTCATGGCACGGTGTGTCCCCCAGGGCGGGCTGAAGGCTGTCATCTGGACAGACGTGTTCCAGACACTGGTGATGGTGGCAGGCCAGCTGGCTGTCATCGTGGTGGGCGCACAGCGGGTGGGCGGCATGGCCCGCGTCTGGCACGTGGCCGAGCAGGAGGGCAAGATCTCCGGCATCGAGTGAGTGATCCACCAGGACCCCCGTGTCACACCATGGGGACATGCGGGGCAGCCGGGGGTGGGGGAGAGGAACCCCCACAGTGGAGGTCCATCCCTGCTGCCCCTTTCTTGTGGGGTGCCAGTGAGGACCTGCCACTGTGACCTCTTGGTGCTCCTCACAGCCTGGACCCCAACCCCCTGGAGCGCCACACCTTCTGGACCCTGGCCATGGGCGGGGTGTTCATGATGCTGTCGCTGTACGGGGTGAACCAGGCGCAGGTGCAGCGCTACCTCAGTGCCCGCAGCGAGCGGGAGGCCAAGCTGTGAGTGGGGCCGGGGCTGGGGGTCCCCGCACCCGGGATGGGCCCCCTTTGCCTCCCCCAGCCCTGACACCCGGCCGGTGCCTGCAGCTCCTGCTACGCCGTGTTCCCCTGCCAGCAGATCGTGCTCTGCCTCAGCTGCCTCACAGGCCTCGTCATGTTCGTCTACGACCGGGAGCACCCGCTGACCCCACGCCCTGGCTCCTCTGACCAGGTGGGTGCAGACCCCTTCCCCGTGTCCCTCCCTGAGCCCCAACACCCGCACTGATCCCCTGCCCCAGCTGGTGCTGATCTTCGTGATGGACGTGCTGCGGGACCTGCCAGGACTGCCCGGGCTCTTCGTTGCCTGCCTCTTCAGCGGCTGCCTCAGGTGAGCGGGCGGCCCTGGGGCAGTGGCTCGGAGGTCCTGGCCGAGCCCCCTCCCGCTCCCTCTCCTCCCCAGCACCATCTCCTCCGCCTTCAACTCGCTGGCCACGGTGACCATGGAGGACCTGGTGCGGCCGCACCTCCCCGGGCTGTCGGAGTCACGGGCCACGCTGCTCTCCAAGCTGCTGGGTGAGCGGCCGGGGGGCTGCCAGGGGGTGGCTGGGGGGCCGGGGTGTCAGGGGGCTCCCCAGCACCGCCATGACCCCCTGCTCCCCTCCCCAGCTTTCGGTTACGGGCTGCTGTGCCTGGGCATGGCGTACGTGTCCTCCATGCTGGGACCTGTGCTGCAGGTAGGGATGGGGCCGTGGGACCCCCAGCTCCGGCACCCAGACAGGCTAAAGGACCCCCAGCTCTGGCACCCCAAACGGGGCGAGGGACCCCCGGCTCTGGCACCCCCAGGGTCGTGGGTCCGGCACTGAGGGCCGTGTTCCTGCAGGCGGCCATCAGCATCTTCGGCATGGTGGGGGGTCCCCTCCTGGGGCTCTTCTGCCTTGGCATGTTCTTCCCCTGCGCCAACCCCACGGTGAGTGCCCTCCCACCCATGAGTGTGTGCCCCCCTCCCGTGAGTGTCCCCAGCCCCGCAGGGGTTGGTGGGGAGGTCGGGGTCAGTCCGAGCCCGGCTGTCCCCTGTCACAGGGAGCCGCCTTGGGGCTGGTGGCCGGGCTGGCCATGGCCTTCTGGGTGGGCATCGGCGGCCTCCTGAAGAACATGGGGCAGGCTGGAGGGGCCTCCCCCATGCCCAACAGCACAGCGCTGCCGACTGTGGGCAACCTCACCACCATACTGGCTACCACCCTGCTGCCCCCCACGCCGACCCCGAGGTGAGAAGGACAGGGGGGCTCAGGGGCAAGGTAGGGGGGATGAGGGGGTGCTCCTCTGCACACCCCCTGACCCTCATGTCCCCCAGCCCTACGGGGCTGCAGCGATTCTACAGCCTGTCCTACATGTGGTACAGCGCCCACAACTCCACCACAGTCATCGTGGTGGGGGTCCTTGTCAGCCTGCTCACTGGTGAGTGTGTGGTGGTGGGGGGGCCACCATGACCCCCCCAGCCCCGCTCAACCCCTCTGCCCCCCAGGCCCGATGCCGCCAGAGGCCCTGGACCCCCGCACCATCTCCCCCGTGGTGCCCCAGCTGCTCTGCTGCCTGTCCCCCAAAATCCGGCAGCGGCTCTGCTGTGGGGGTGGAGACCCTGCCCAGGTGAGGAACAGACCCCCAGCACCTTGGGGGAAGGGGGACATGGGGTGGGTGCCCCCCGCCCCTGCTGCCCCCCACTGTGCCCCCCTGCTCCCTGCTCTGTCCCCGCAGACCCCTGGCCATGCAGATGCCACAGAGAAGAGCAATGGGATTCCCAACGGCCTGGGGCCCCCTGGCCCCGGGCAGCGGGAGGAGGAGGAGGAGGAAGGACAGGGGTACATCCGCAGTGCCACGGCCCCCTCCTACGCCGTGCAGGAAACCTCCTTCTGACCCCCCTGGCGTGGGGATCCTGGACAACCCCCCCGGCCGCGGGGCTCAAAGCCCCAGTGGGGCACCCACAGACGGACAGGGAGTGCCAAATAGTGGGGTGTGGGGTCCCCGGTGGGGGCCGGTGTGCTGCCCCCCAGGGGGGCTCTGGGACCATGTCTGGGGGGTGTCAGAGCGGTGGCCCCCACCCAGGCTGGGATGCTGCCCAGTGCCCCCGGCCTGGCCATGTGCCTTACACACCGCTCTGCTCTGGGGGCTGCCTGGACCCCTCGGGGCGCAGAGCACATCCCCCAAGGCCCTGTCAATCATCTCTGTGTTCAGTGTCCCCCCAATAAACGGTTCTGGAGCACAGCTGTCAGAGGGTCCCCAGGAACCACCCCTCCCTGCTGTAACCGTGGACCCCCATCTCTCCAAACATTGGGGTATCCCCACTGTCCCCCAAGAGCCCACAAGTCCTCATTTCCCTGATCAGTGGGGGAGTCTCGCTGTACCTCAGAACCCCTCAAGCACTGGGAGTCCCCACGAGATCCCATGGGAACTCCCCAAACACTGGGTAGTCCTCACTGCCCCCCAGGAGCCCATGGGGCCATGGACCCCCATTTCCCCTGGGGAGGGGCCGCACTGTCGCCTGGGACCTCACGGGACTCCTGTCTCCCCAAGCAGGGGGTGTCTCCACTGTCCCTCAGGAGCCCATGGGGACAGAGGCCCCCTGCTCCCATGAGCGCTGGGGGTCCCCACTGACCCCCCGGGCCCCCCAAGCCCCCGAGGCACCGGGGGTGTCTCCGCTGTCCCCCGAACCGTCCGGGGCACGTGACCCCCGCGGCCCCGCCCCCTCGGCGGCCCCACCCCTCCTGGCCCCGCCCCCTGGTCTCGGGGCGTGGCGTGCTGACGTGCCGGCGCGGTGACGTCACGGCGCTGCGATGGCGCCCCGGCGCCCCCCGGAGCTGTACCGGGCGCCGTTCCCGCTCTACACCGTCCGCCTGCACCCGCGCCGGCCGCTCGCCATCACCGCCGGCGGCGGCGGCGCCGCCAAGACCGGCATCCGCAATGGCGTGGTACGGGGGCAGGCGAGGGCTCGGGGGGGGCGGGTCTGAGCGTGGGGACGGGGGCTCGGGGGGCCAGGCTGCAGCGTGGGGGGTGGAGGTTTGAGCGCCGGGAGGATCTGAGGGACCCGGGGGTGTGTGGGGGCCAGGTCTGAGCGCTGGGAGGGTCTGAGGGACCCGGGGGTGTGTGGGGGCCAGGTCTGAGCTAGCGGGGGCTGCGGGATTTGGGTGGCCCGGCTCACGGGGAGGCCCAGAGGGGGTGTCCCCAGGGAACCCCCCCAGAGCCCGGCGGGGGCCGCGGCTGAGCCACCCCCGGCCCGCAGCACTTCCTGCAGCTGGAGCAGATCGGGGGGCAGCTCAGCGCGTCGCTGCTGCACTGCCACGACACCGAGACCCGCGCCACCATGACCATGGCGCTGGCCGGGGACGTGATCGCCGCCGGGCAGGACAACAGCTGCCACATCCTGCGCTTCACCCTGCAGGAGCCCGAGGGCCCGGGCACCGCCGGGCGCGACGGTGAGAGCCCGAGTCACCGGGGGCGGCGTGGGGCACCTGCCCTGGGGCGAGGGGGATGTGGGGACGGGCACTGCCCTGGACTGCCCCCTCATGCCTGCCCTGGGTGCCCTGTGGAGTGCTGGGTGGTGTTTTGGAGATGAGGCGTTCTGTGGACACCATGCCCGCCCTGGATCCCCCTCTCTGTGCCTACCTTGGGTGCAGTGGGGCGGGATATGGGGAGCTGGGGGTCTGTGGGGTGTCTTGGAGATGGGGCACTGCCCTGAACCCTTGCATACCTGTTCTGGACCTGCCTCCTTGTGCTTGCCCTGGGTGTCATGGGGAGCTCTGGGGATGGGATGCTGCCCTGGAACCCCCCTGTTACCTTCCCTGGCCTTCTCCCTGTACCCATCCCGGGTGCTGTGGGCAGGGTGTGGAGGGCTGGGGAGTGTTTTGGGGATGGGCAGTGCTCTGGACCCCCCCATCTCTCTGCTCTGGGTGCTGTGGGACAGAGGCTGTAGGGTGCTTTGGCGATGGGGCTCAGCTGTAGACTCCCCCCCATGCCCACCCCGGATCTCTCCCGTACCTGCCCTGGATGCTGTAGGACAGGGCATGGGGAGCTGGGGGTCTATGGGGTATTTTGGGGGTGGGCAGTGCCCTGGAACCCCCCTGGATCCCTCCCCGTGCCCACCCTGGGTGCTGTGGGGGCTTTGGGTACCGGAGCTGCCCCGGACCCCCCGTGCATGCCCCGGGTGCTGTGGGGTGGCGTGTGGGGTGCTGTGGGGACGGGCACTGCCCCCCTGCGCCCCCCGTGCCCGCCCTGCCAGCCCCGTGTCCCGGTTGCAGGCGGGGGGGACAAGGGCGTGCGGCGGCGGCGCGGCCCCGGCGGGGGGGCCCCGGGGGACACGCAGGGCCGGCCCCGCGAGGTGAGGGTGGAGAGCCTGCACCGCGTGCGCACCGACTTCAGCGCCGACGCCCTGCAGAAGGCCGTGCGCTTCAGCAGCGACGGAGCCCTGCTCGCCACCGGCGGTGCCGACGGCTTCCTGCGCCTCTGGGAGGTGGGCACGGGGCGAGCTGTGGTGGGCAGGGGGGGCCAGGGGGCACAGGACAGTGGAGTTGGGCACGGGGGGCCAGGGCAGGCACAGAAAGCTGGGGGGATGTGGGGGAGCCAAGGGGGGCACAGGGGAAGGGAAGTGGGCACAGGGGGCTGGCACAGGGAAGCGGGGGCCAGCACTGCCGTGCTGGTGGCAGCATGTGTCGGGCAGGGATGCCTGGATCAGCATCTGTTCCCTAATTCTGATTCCCCCCACACCTGCCCGGGGCTGCAGCGGGGCCCGGCCCCTGCCCCTGCCCAGTGCCCTCACCGGCTCTGCCCCCACAGTTCCCCAGCATGAAGAAGATGCTGGAGTTCAAAGCCCATGATGGGGAGATCGAGGACATTGCACTCGGCCCTGACAACAAGGTGAGTGTCGGGCAGCCCTGTGGCCCCTTGGCCCTGCAGAAGAGCAGCGTCTGACCCCTGTGCTGTGTGTGGCAGGTGGTGACGGCAGGGAGGGACTTCCAGTGCTGCGTGTGGCAGCAGGACCAGCTGGTGACGGGGCTGCGCTGGCACGAGAACCTGCCCGGCATCCCCGACAAGGCCTATCGCTACCAGGCCTGCCGGTGAGGGCTGGGGATGGGGCAGGGAGCTGGGAACAGACCACTGGGGATGGGGCAGGGAGCTGGGAACAGACCACTGGGGATGGGGATG